GAACTTTCTATCACCACCATCCTCTTTAACAAAACTTTAACTATTCAAAGAGTACCAGATTCCCCTATCCCCCTATAATCATTTCTTCTACAGATTTCCTGGTTCCTCCAGCCTTTTTTTGGTAGGGTGGTGGTGGGGGGGGAAGTTGTTTCCTAAACATCTTATCATTTTTGTAGCTCTCTGCTTGTCTGTCTCCTTCAGTTTAGCCACATCTTTTTGAAGTGTATAGAACTGAACATGGTAAGAGGCCTCATGAGAAGGGTGGAAAAATAACTTCCTTTGACTTGACAGTAACACTCCTACTAATATAATCCAGTACACCAGGGTTTCTCAAATTCTGTGATACTGTGACAGAGTGCTGGATGGTGGCAGCGGGAGACGGGGAGCTTGCATGCAGCCGCCGCTGCTGCTACTGTCACGTGCCATTTTCCCATACCACTGTGTACCCCCTGGGAACCTTGTGGCCCCCTCTTAAATTGCTTGTGACCCCTGGGGGGTTGTGACCCACACTTTGAGAACCCCTGTAGTATGCCTTTGTTTTGCTGTAAGAACATACTGACTCGTTCATCTTGTGATCCACTGTAATCCTCAGGTCTTTTTGCATAGTAGTGCAGTCTAATGAGTTATTCCACAACTTCTATTTGTGCATTATTGTTGACGGGTTGCTCTGTCTTTTTAAGTGGAGTACTTTGTAAGATTAGGATTCAGGTTTGATAAAACTGGAAAATCGTCTGAAATTAATCTAATAAAGTGCAACGTGTTTGCTACCCAACCCAGCTTGATGTCGTCTATCACTCTCATCCTCCCAGTCCTTACTGAAGATAGTAAACTGTTCTGGATCTAGGAAGGACCACTGGGGAACACCACACGATACCTTCACCCAGTGGGACACAGAACGCTTACTCTTGGAGCATGATCATCCAACTAGTTATGTCCCCAACTTAAAATAGTTTAATCTAGACTATATTTCCTTAGCTAACTAATAAGACTGCCATGGGAGTTTGAAAACCTTGCTAAAGTCCAGGTATGTAGTGTCCGCTGCTCTTCCCCCATCCATAGTGCCAGTCACCTTTTTGATTGTAGAATAAAATCAGGTTGGTTAAGAATGACTTGCTCTGAGTCACTGTTGGCTGTTCCTGATCATTTTGTTATTCTTTGAGCACTTAGAAATTTTGTCTTTTTATGTGCTCCATAAGCTTACTACCACTGAGGTTGTGCTGACTGATCTGTAATCCCTTGCTTCCCTTTTAAATGGATGTGCACAGTATTTGCCCCTTTTTCCCCAGTACGCATGCAAGTGGGAGAGAGATCCTTCTCCACATTCTCAGCGGAATCATGACTTTTGGTTTGGAAAGCACCACTGGTGGTTTTTGAATTGTCATATTTTAAACAGAATCTCTTGGTGGACCAGCTCCACAGACTGTGGTCTAGCACCTGAGTGGTCTCTCAGACTCCTTCCTGAAGAACATCTTTGCAAATAGGGATTCCCGAAAGTGTGCAGCAGACTAAAGTAAACTGTAGTGACTGTCTTATTGCAGAGATGGCATGAGCCCATCTTTCCTCATTCTTTGGATCCTGAAGCTAATGGCTGTCTTTCTCCCTTTTGCCATGTTACCAGTAGTCCTGAAGAAACTTAGGTTGGTTGTAGGATACATGGTTATGATGGCCCTCCTTCCATTTCTCCCCATCTTGGGGTAGCCAGTTTTCCCATTTAGACTTCTTGAATTCAACACTGGCCCTAATTGTCTTACCCTCTGTAGATACATTGACTTCCCAATTGTCTTTCCTAAACCTCACTAAACCCTGACAGAATAAGGTTTTACATGCTGAATTTAGACGGGCTTAAGTCTTACAGGAACACACCCAGATCAGTAGCAACCCCTTGATTTAAGGGGAGCCCTGTATATTCACAGAGGAGCTTTCTGTGGACCTTATAGTGTCCTAGATTTGCAGCCAGAGGAAAGAACAACTATTTAATCCTATAGCAAGTGCAGTTTTTTCTAGATTGCTGAATACACAGATTCTACCCTTGGCATACATGTGTCCCAGTAGGGCAGTTTTAGCTTAGCCCTGTTCCATTCAAGGAGGTCTCAATTTACCATATTTACTCAAATACAAGACAAGGTCCCTCCTTCCCCAATTGGCTTGGGGAAGGAGCCCCTCATCTTATGACTGCATGCAAGGAATTCTCACTGAATACTTTGCCTATCATTAAACTGCTGCCAAAAGCATCATGTGCTCAGCAATGCAAAACCAACTATGAAGTTGATTAAATGCAGCCAATGCCAAGAGTGACTGACTGTAAAACGCATGGCCCACGTTGGGCAAACATGCTGATGGGAACCTACCACAAGAATAGGATAGGGCAGCCCTCCAAATAAAACATACTGTAGTGCCCGTTAAATGCAGTCCCCCTCATTGCCAACTCTTTTGTCATGATGAGCCAGAACACTGCATACAGTTCACCCAGAATCCCTCTGTTGCCCCCTCTCTCGGCCAGGCACGTATGATTAGTGTAACCCTGCCCTCCATGAGGTGAAGGTGGACCAGGTTCCCCTGCGCTTCATCTGCATATACATTTTTGGAGCATCTCAGGGCTCATGACTAACACCAGGGGTTCCAGACATGAGTGGGAGATAATTAGCACATGGATCCTTTTTCTTTTCTTGGGGGGGTGCGGGAAAGGGAAGGTATACGGAGTGTACACACACAGACC